TCAATTGAACTAATGAGAGAGGCTTTGTTTTCTGATAGAGTGTTAAATGCTGATAACAGAGCTGATAAATGCTCTATTACCAAGTGGGGGGGGGTGCAGAACCCCACCCTAATCAGAGCATCTTGTTGGGGCCTGGCCACACACCCCTCAGCTCAGCATTATGGAAGAGAAGGGAGGGCTGCTTTAGCACCCCCTGACTTCTAGCCTGAGGCACAGCAGGCATGTGCCTGAATTTCCTCAATCCAGAGGGGATGTCTACACGGTTACAAACTGGTTCAGCCTAGCCAGGTTAGGTTAACCTGCAAAGATTTAATCAATTCAGGCTCAGGCTTTTTGAATAGCTGTCCCTAGCCCTAGAGTGAGCTATGAAGAGCATAAATCTAGTAAAATCAATCTGCTTAATTGCATGCGCCAGTGTTACTCATGCCAACAGATTCTAAGTCAGCTGACCAACATTTTGTGCCTTCCTGGCAACTGTGTCTCATTGACCCTGATCACAGCCCTGTTAGCCTAATCAGAGCCTCCCAGCGCTTATCACACCTTAAGAGCAGTAATCATGACCTTCAGACACCCCCACAGCCACAGCCATGCCTCAAAGGCCTTACTCTGTTTCACATACCAGTCCCTCTGACCCTATCTTCAGATCCAGTCACCCAGGCACCTGGTCCTGGCAGGGCTGCTCCAGCTCATGAGGTCCCAGACCCTGGTAAAGCTGCTGTTTCTCCATTCTAATCCACCAGGTCCCAGGCCCTTGTAGGCCTGCTTCAACCTATGAACTGCTAGGTTTCTATTTACTCATCCCATAGGCCCCTGAAGGGCTCCATCCTGGTATATACTTCTATAGCAGGAGTTCTCAATCCCTGGGCTGCAGCCCAGTGCTGGGCCACAGCGGGTTGACTGCCAGTCTGCGGCATGGTCGGCTGCCAGACCAGAAGTGGCTGTGGACTGGCAAACTGTGGATGCCCCAGAGCAGAGTGAACAGGCCACGGCTTCTTCTGCAGGGCCCGCAGCAGTGCGGGGTTTGGCCTGCTCCCCCGCCTGAGGAGTGGAGGTATACTTACCTGTCTGCCGGCCAGAAATTTTGGCCACGGTCAGCTGTGACTGCTGGGCTGTGGCCACTTCTGGGCTGTGGTTTGCCAGGCCATGGCATAAAAACTTTGGGAACCCCTGCTCTATAGCATGGATTGCCTCCCAGGCACTGCACCCTAAACCCCACCACTCCTGTAGCCACAATCCACTTAAAGAAATACAAACACAGATCCACTAATTTCAAGGCCCACCTTGGGTCTCTCCATTTCTGCAAACCCCTTTCCCTATATGCTGTCTCTTGCCCAACCTCCAGGGTACCCTCCTATGTCTGCAGTTTTCGTTCTAGCAAAAACTCTTCTCCCCAAAGAGGCGAGGGCCAGACTGAGGCTCTAGCTCAGGGTCTTAGCTTATATTGCCCAGGAGCACCACTGCCTCTGGTCCAACCCAGGACAGGGGTTTTTCCTTCACCTTAATCCACTTGCCCTTCCTACACTGCAGTCCTTACTTACATACTTATCTGGAGCTGTGCACTACTGTAGTGCAACTTGCTCCCAAGTAGTTATCCTGTCTTTCTGTTGCCTCAGCTGCTTACTGTCTGGCAGTTAGCCCTGCTTCAGCAGCCCACTGATTGCAGTGCTTTCTCTCCCTTAAAGTAACAGGGGCTAGAATCCCCCTGTCACAATCACCCCTGGTAAATCCTGTGCCCACTGTCATGTTTCCCCGCACAGTGATCACCAGGGTGATAAGCCTTCCTAGCCACCTTTCTTTTTCATGAAGTCTTCTAAATTGGGGGTGGGGGAGCAGCAGCATTGAGAAAGGTGACTAGAGGAATTGGCTTTGCAGACATTAATAGTAACCCATTAACAATGCAGAAGTAGACTGGTACTCCAATACGACGTTGCGCGTAGCCACACCCCTTCCTGTGGGAACAATGACTCTATCTGCTCCCTAACCCCCGTTAAAATCAGAGGATCTTAGAAATGCATCATATAGATTTGTCACCTTGATCTGTTATATTTGCAGGCAGGATTCTGGACACCAAAATGAAGTGCTGTGTCAGAATATATTCTTCCTCCAAACCAAAGGCACAGCTCCCTGTTCACACGGCTGTCTGTGCGGGGCAGGTAGACGAGAGGCTCAGCTCGGCTCCTACAATAGAGGGCACTGATGGAGCTGCAGTCAGTCACACGGGCTAGCTGTGGATCAGAAGGCCCTACAATATCCTGTAAGGTGTGTCGTGCTTTCGGCCCTCTCAAACTTAATGCCAGAACTGGTGGTGCCTTGCCAGCCTCAGGAGAATAAGCAGAAGGCAGCTCTTCTGTGAAAGAGAAACATATGTTTGACTAAAGCAGAGTGCCCTCTTTCTAGGCTCACTCATTCTATTCAAGGCCTCTTTTCAAGTCTATATTCTCCCTAGATGACTGATAACTAATCAGCCCTATCTCTTGGTCCCATTACATGTTTATCAAGGTAACATCTGTTTCTCAAAGGGGGTCTCCCCATGTGAGGCAGCTCCTGATCCGACACAGCTGGTTACCTAACCAAGGAGCTAACCTGCCAAACAACCAGCTTGAAGGTGTAATGGCCATACATACAACAGCCTTTGCTGCTGCTCTTGAGATCTATTTGGCTTGCTTGAGAGCAGCCACAGAGAGAACTGTCAGGGCAGCTTCACTGCCTAATTTCTGCGTTTGGAATCCTGGCCTTGATCTTTCTTGAGTGGACAGTGCCTGGATGCCAGCATAAAACACGATCAGATGCTCTCACTGCTGTACTGCTCAGGCAGGGTTAAGAGGAGAGGTATGTCCTTACAGCAGCAGGTGGAACCAAACAGTGGTTCTATGGTGTTTCCTGCTTCTACTGAGCCAAAGGAACCCTTCCATACAAACATGCCTGGCTAGGACAGAGTCGGGAGGTTCTAGGGAAGGAGAACGAAAGGCAGCAGCTGGCTCCAGTCAAGCTCTAGGACAGATTTTCAGCTGGTGTGATATCATAGCACCACTGAATCACAGTGTAACGATCAAAATTGTTATCAGCTGGAGATCTGTTCCATCTTTCCCAATGGAAACTAACACAACAGATAATTCTGCCAAATCTGTATTCTTATGTACTCTGAAATCTACACACATGTAAAGGTGGATACCGTGGGAGTGGATCTCACTGAAAACCACAGAACCCAGATATGGACCATTCACTTTGTGGGGATGGAAGCTAGGAAGAAATCTGGGCAAGATAAGTGGATTATTTTCTGATCCTTTCATGGAAATAGGAAAGCTGATGAAAGGACGCAACTGGAAATTATTTAAAGCTACAGATAAACTGCTCATTCACCCTGGACAGAGTCAGGATCTGGGCTGTGTGGGGAAGGAATGAGGAGTAATGACATCTCAAAAGAAAATACCTGACCACCAACCCTTCATCTACTTGCTAAGACCTGAGTTCTGGGTTTCCTTATTTCCTGTCATACTTGAAGATCCACAGCAGAACATTCTCTTCCCCTCTGTAACAACCCCCTCGCCAAACACACAGCCTGCCTTCATGAGGATTGCCAGGTGGGTGAAGGAATGGAATCCAATTCACTTCTGTATGGCTCCCATTACAGTGATCAGAAAATGAGAGGCAGGATACATCTTCCTCTGCACTGGTGTTTAGATACATTTAATGACCTCAGTTCTTACAGGGAAATCAGGATCCTAATCTCATGGGTTTACAATTTAAACTTCAACCTATTTGTATTTTTTTAAGTTTCCAAGTGAAGGGTAAAATTCAGTGTTCTGATCTGCGTAGCAAACCTCAGTTCACATACATTTTCCCTCCATACGAAGTGGTTCTTCACAGCATGTCCAAAGGGTAGAGCATCAGAAACCAGATCTGAAAGCAGAATTCTACCTGTTTTCTGTTACTGATTGGTGACTTCATGGTTTTCTTATTAATTTCCAAAGCCCTCCAGTCACTGGTGAAAACACGTTAAATCCACACTGCTGAGACAACTGAAGCAGTAATCATATTTATGAGCTAGTCTGGTTCCACTGTTTTCAAATGTGACAAAGAAGCAGGGACACTGCAGAATTTCTTTGAGTGACTGACCTGGTTTTGACTGAATTTCTGTCCAGACAAAAAGAAAACCTGTTTCTCTCAGTCTCAGTCTGCCAACATTCTTTCCCAAGCGAAATGGATTACATGAGTACATGTCCTGTTGTCACACATAGGTCTTTCACGAGAACTTCTTGGCTTAAAAATACACAGAACTGTTGTGTTACAGAGGCAATCCCTATTCTTGTAGTTATGGGATGGTTTTCAAACTAAGATCTTGAAAGTTAGCAGTTAATTAAATCTGATACACATCTTAAGAGGTAGGTTTTATCATCTTGCTTTTAAATGGACAAAACTGAGGCTCTGAGAAGTTATAAGGGCCATATTTTCAACACAGATGCCTAATATTATGGATTTGGGCAGCCAACATTAGACACTCATCATACAAATGTTTGGGTTTCCTGCCTCCATTTCCCCTCTATTCTCCCAGATTAAAAGGTGGGAGATCAGCAATCTGCCAAACTATAAAAAGCAGCTGCGGAAGGGCCAGAGTACCAGTCCCCCACCACCAAAAGCTATCTAAGAATTGATACAGGGATATCGGAGCATAGGACTATCAGGAACTTCCTGGGCTATCAAGCCTAGTGCCTTGTGTTTGTAGGCAATCATTTTCCCTAATGAGTCCCCCAAACTATCCACTCTAACCCCTCACACACACCACAGCTTCAAAGCACCCCTAGAAAACAAAACTAAAACACTCTACACTGTGCCAAAGGTAAAAACCAGTGGAAATAAGGTAGGACCCTACTGTTTCCTAAGGCTTAAAGGCCAAAGATCAGGAGACAATTTGAGTTCCTTATAGAAGAAAACTCCAGGGCAACCACTAGGGGCTAATATAATGTTTAAAGCACGTGTACTAAACTGTGCTAGGTTTCTTTCATTCTAGCCCCAATTCCATCCAGGTCACTAGCCCATACATTCAGTAAGAACATGGAGATTTAGGAAAGACCTTTTACAGAAGAAAAAAGGCTACAGAAAATGTCAGTGTTACAACACTTGTAGAAATATAACATAGGGAACAGATGAAAGCAAACAGCCCAGAATGTGTCTGACTCTCAGAGGAGAAGACAAGGGCAAGCCTGAAGTCACGCTCATACCACCCCATAGTACTAACCAGTGTAGTTAAATTGGTGTAAGTTCTGTGTGCAGATAAGATATTACCTGTGGTAGAGAGCAGCAGGTTGTGCTGGGGATAAAGTAGGCGGAGTCCGCAGATATCCAAACCAGCACTGAGAATCAACTGTAGCATATGATGGGTGGCCAAAGGGTTTTGGAGTAGGTTTTCAAATAGCAACACCAAGGCAACCTGAACAGAAAGGCAAAGGTCACAAAGGACAAACAAGCACACCCCTATTAGTGACAATGACGTTTCTATTCCTAGAGAGAACCATAGATATCAATCACATGTAAATATCTCTCTCTTTTTTGTCTTCAGATTTAATCCCCATGTCTTCCTTATGCTGTATGATCTTTCTGGACTCTTTGTTGTGTATTTATAGTGATCAACACGCTACTTTGCTAGCCCATGATTGGATCCCGTGCACTACCATGATATTAACACTTATAATATATAATGCCTTTTGTCACCTGAACTACCTTATTTTCTCACATATACCACACCCTGAATAAAACACACACCTTGGTTCTGGAAGGCAGAACATAGAAAAAAATATTTTTCCAGAGTCATGGCCAACTGTGACATAGAGTAAGTCCTCCTGGAAACACAGTGTGTCCAGAAATGTGGCATCCAAGGAAACAGTCTGGGTGAAGTACCTGGTACCAGGAACTTCCCCGGTTAGGCCCCAGACCTTTGCAAACGCAGCAGCAAGACTGTTCGGATTTTTTACTGTAAGAAGCTTTTTATATAAGTTACTGTACTTAAAGTGCTATTTCCACATCACAGGCCTCATTAAGATAATACAAACAGCTCACCTGCTGCTTTAGGTGCAAGCTCAGCCAATAGGTATGGCTATGAGAGGATTAACCTAGGACTCTGACATCTTGGCAGCTTCATGGCATGCAAAGTATTTTCAGACTTGCTTATTTTCCAGAAAACAGCCTCCCCACTTAAAACATACATCCCAATTTTGGGGGCAGGGGTGATTTTAGGGGGAAAGTTGTGTGTTGTATGTAAAAAAATATGGCATTTTCCTTTGATTTGTTACTGTCAGAACTGTAGGTTATTTGGGGCAGGACATGAAATGTATTGACTCTGCTGATTAATTCTGTAGTCAAATAATAGCAAGAGACAAGATAGCTATTTTTCCATATTAATGGCAATTCCAAAATCAATACAAGAATATAATCCAAAAAGTGGATACCAAAGGCGAACTATAATTTATTTATATGCCGCAATCTTATTTTCTAGAGGAATTAATTCAGTCCGTCCTCAGATATGGTACAAAAACTGCCATTACACAGTAAACTTACCCTTCCTCCAACATGCTGTGTTGCTCTATGTGGGCTACCTCATCTAAAATGGAAGCAGTATTTGCCTTCACATAGGATTTCAGGTGCACTAATCAGCCTGCTCCCATACTAACTAGTACGCCTGCAATGCTGTGTGAACACAGCCATACTGATTCTGGTTTAAGAGGCAACCTGAGCAAAACAGTGCAGCCTGCTGAAGGTGTCGCTTCCAGGCACGGTGAGTTTATCATGTAGGCATAGCCATAGCTATATAATGAATATATACACCATGAAAAAAATGTTCTCCATTTAATTCTCTTTTTATTTTAAATGTACTTCACTCCCCCGTAAGGAGGAATATTGTACTCAAAGTGCACATGATGTAATGGAAGAATCTGGGTTGTTCTGGAAATTCAGGGATAGTGGATATCTGAAGAGCATGACTGTACTGGCCTGTATTTTGTGTACAGTTCTCCCTTCCATACAGACACACAATACCATCCTCAATCAGGAGCTTTATTGCTGCAGTGAATGCCAAATGAATTCATCATTACTGGACACTTTAAATGAAGTGTTACCAAATGCTGCTCCCCCATAAACACATAATGAGGCTTACAACATTATGATAAACGAAGTTATAAATCTAACTGAGGAATAAAAAGTCTAGTCCAACTAGAAAAAAAACTCAATTGTTTTCTCTTCATTTACTTATAATTCCCCTATTATTAACCCATTGCTCATATAAGCTAAAAAGAAAGGAATTGTCCTGTAGCTCTATGCCTCATAAAACCTTCATGGAGACATCCCAAGTGGTGAATTATATCATGGGCGGTGATATAACTGAGCATGTCTGTGTAAGGTAGGGGGAACATCAACAATCACCCCATTTTATCCTTTCCCTTCTCAGGGTTTACCTTTGTCAATGCCTTGCACTGTGAAGATGTCTTTCTAAGAGCTGCCTGTAGAAACTCAGAAGTGTGATTCTTGAACTAGCCCCAGCACGTGTTACAGAAGGAAGCCAGGAACTTCAAGTGCTTATAGACATGGTGGGAAAAAAACCCCAGCACTTTAATTTCAGCTCAGCATGCCCCCGCACTGAGCACAGTGCATGCCCAGAATAGGAATCGTGTCAATTTGACCCGGCTCACCCAGCACCTTTGTAGTTCACACATTTCACCTGGCCTTTTTGGCACTTTTATCTAATAACTGATTGAATCAGCTATTAGATAAGAATGCCAAAAAGCCTGGCTGAAGCGTGTGAGCTATACAGATGCTGGGCGAGCCAGGTCAAACCAACATGATTCCTATTCTGGTAAAGTGCAGTTTTGGTTTTTTTCCTATGTCTGTCAGCACCATCCATGATCCAGCTAAGTGCCCCATGTCTTCAACTCCTATTGATAAACCTTAGGCACAGTGAAGGATTGAAGCAGGAGTATTGAGCTTTCTTAGCAGCTTGTCCATCTTGATGCACATTTAGAAAGAAAATCATAACATCTGTATCTGTAAATCAAGTTTGTGGTGAAGTTTTGAAATTCCCAAACCAGACTTACTAAATCTTTTATTGAGAAATTCTAAAATACAGACAAACTCTATGACACATCAGCTTGCAGTCAAGCTGGCTTGGTATTTCAAAATAAGTCTGCATTGCTGATATGCACCTGACTGGTATCATTTTCTCTAGCCTTTACATTTCAGAGTTTAATCTTTGCAGGCTCAGTGCAATGGCTAGATCAAAATTAATGATACCAAAGGTTTGGCTGGTATATTAGAGTGAGAAACATTTGAAAATGAGTATTTGTGTATTTGTAACAATTCTGTGAGTTCAAATATTCCATACCAGGTTTGATCTTCCCTTAGCTTTCCACTTAATTCTAAAATTCAGACAGGAATTCTTTACCTCTGTATCTATATCTCTGCTAGTCCCAATGTCACTGCTGCTAGGGAAGTATTTTTCATCGGTTTCTATGGTCTGCCAATAAAACCCAGCTGGCACTGCAAATGCTTTTTCCACTGCCTGAAATATAAAAGGGATAGTTCCTATTTGTGAATTATTTTGGTTCTTCAAAGTCAGAAACTGAAAAAGAGAACATGCTTAATGCTAAGGCTAGAGATCAGAAAAAATGATAAAGAGTTACAGTAATTAGTCCATTGTCATCACTTTACTATTTGCTGTTTTATCTGTCCAATTAGGATCATCAGTACAGTAAAGACAGTTTTAAACAGTATCCCCAGGAGCATGGACTTGCTACAACTGGTATCCTAGGGGAATGAACATTACTAGGGCTCAGTCCAGTTAGCCATTCCATGTGCAGATCTTCTGTTGACTTTAATGGAGTTACACATGAGTACATGTTACATGTGATCAAGCCATATTCACACACACATACATATACAAACGCACATATTTTTATACATATATTTAGTTTATATTCATATCTATATCTCTAGCTATATACATATATCTATATATCTCTATCTATAGATATAGATTCAGATGGGATGGGGCTGCAGGTGGGCAGGAAGCGGCGCCCAGGAGCTGAGTGAGCTGCTGCCACAGGGGCTGCTAGGAACCTGAGTTTGGCCACCACGCAGCCTCTGCCTTGCTGCACATCTGGAGGAATGGAACTGGCCACACATGCCACAGCCCAAGCTGCCCTTCAAGCCTGGGCCAGGAGGGGCTGAAGGAACTACTGCAGGCTGGACAGAATCCCTTGGTGGACCAGATCCAACCCACAGGCAGTATTTTGCCCACCCCTGTGATAACATAATATTGTGACCATTTTAGGAATTGGCCAGTTATTATATAAGAATGAAACCAAAGTAATTTCATCAAAGGAAAACAAACCCAACAAAAAGTAGCACAGTTCCCAAAGTCCTGCTATGCCAGATACTGGTGCATTTAGGTAAGTGACAGACACTGGCCTTCAGCTTCATGTTGCAGCATTACACAAGCATGGCATTCCCAGTATAACCACACACCTCACTTTCCACTGTTGCTTCCATATTTTCTGGGCAGTCAAGTAAGCAAACTATCCAAGTGCAGTTTGAGCTTTTATGTTTAAGGCTGTCAGTCATAAAAATTTACTTTGGCTTCCAGCTTAGCCTCAAGGCCAAGATTCCTGAATGATCTTCTACAGAATGTGGGAGAGAATCTTATGAAGTTCTTGTTAATGGCAGAAATAATGTTCCCAGATACAGAAGTGCAAATCTGGAGTAACTCCAGGAACAGACAGGATTATATGGCATTGAAATTTAGTCCTATGAATAGGGGGGAAAAAAATTTCAGTTGTAAATTGGAATGGCTCCACTGACTTTAATGGCACTACTTTGACTTATGCCAGCCATGAATTTGCCTCTATCACGTTAGAGTATCTTTTTTGCTCTGATGCCACCAAAATGTATTCCACAGAAAAGAAAGGAAATATCACCGAGATTTCATTAAATCTTCCGTATGGATAGAGTATGGGCTAATTACTTGAAAAAGCAGCCATTCTGTATTATGAAGTACATATAACACAGGATAATTGTGTAATCACCTGAGAGATATTCTGTTCTGCTGGGCAAATAATAGACATTTTAGATCCTTCTATAAATATTTTAAAATAACAACAAGAAAATGTGATTAATTTGAATAATGTTAAAAGCCTTCTGGTTCCATTGTGTTTTGGCAGCATTTTCCAGTTTGACCTCTCTTTTTTTATTATTATTATACTGTTAGAGATATTTACATGGAAACAGCAATTTGGGGTCAAATCCTCAGCTCCTGTGAATCAGCAGGGCTCCACTGGGGTCAGAAGATTACCTTAATTTCCTCCTGTCAAAAATTAACCCCTTTGGTTTTGCAGCACTTTGCCAACCAGCCTTTGCCTAGGACATCACACTCATTTGCTTGGAAAATATTGATATAGATATAGAAACAGGAAAATATTACCAAGCCAAGATAAGAAAATAGAAGCCCTCCTCTGTTTCCAAAGGTCCGTAGCAGCTCCTCCATGCAGCACTGACAAGGGGAAGCATGCATGGGAAAGGGATCAGGACAGACTATGCAGGATAAGCATGGAGAGGGACTCCGCCTCTGCAGATTTTGCCACTTACAAGGCATTTCACCTCTTGTCAATCAAATGCAGAAGCAGCAGCAGCAGCAGCAAGGACCTCTCCAGAAAACTGCACCTTTTGTTGCTATGGTCATAGTTTCATAGTTGGTAGAGTCAGAAGGAACCTGAACAGATCATCAAGTCCGACCCCCTGCCATGGCAGGAAAGAGTATTGGGGTCAAACGACCCCAGCAAGGTGATTGTCTAGCCTTGTCTTAAAGACCCCCAGGGTAGGAGCCAGCACAACTTCACTTGGGAGTTGGTTCCAGATCCTAGCTGCCCTGACAGTGATGTAGTGCCTCCTGATGTCTAATCTGAATCTACCCTCTGCAAGCTTGTGACCGTTATTTCTAGTCACTCCTGGTAGTGCTCGGGGGCACAGAGACTCCCCCAATGCCTGCTGGTCCCCTCTGACTAGTTTGTAACAGGCCACTAGATCCTCCCTCAGCCTTCTCTTGTGGAGGCTGAATAGGTTCAGGTCCCATAGGGCCTGCCCTGCTGCTCCCTGATCATGCAAGTGGTCCTTGCTTCTTACTTCCCCACCATTGAAACCCCACTTCTTAACTCTTGCCAGGAGAGCTGAAGGATGCTGTCAGCAACCAGTTGCACAGCTATGGCAACATCTGTGTGCTATAACATCTCTGCATAGCTGTTGCTGGGTAACTGTTCCACTGTCACAGTCTCCTGTGCACATTTTGCAGGACACAGGCAAGGTGTTCCCCAGAGCAAGAAGCACGGAGAGCTCTCCTAGCCCACTGCAATTCATGATGACCAAGCAATTCTATTTGTTCTAGAAAGTCCCTCCTTCCTTTCTCTTCTAATTCTCCCTCTACCTCCTACCATCCTCCTCCACAAAGAGGATGTATCATGGCTACATAAGTACTTGTGGTGCCATTGTCTGCCTGAGCATAAACTTTTGGATTGGCATGAATATGAGATGTTTATTGGACAAAACATAAATCCCATGAATCAATAAGACAGTTCAGACCTGAACTAGAATATGACTGAATTTCTATGGAAACCTTTATTGCATTTACCAGTTAAGAAACAATCCAACATATCTTAGCAAAGTCAAGGTAAAGGCTGACCTTCAGCTGTGCCTGAGTTTGACTGTTCACCTCCATTTTATATTTCCTGTATTACTTCATACCCTTTACTTGACTTAAATTGTACAAACTAAACGCTGCCCTCATTTACATCTCTGTAGCTCAAAGAAGTGTGTGTGTGGGAGAAACTGAATGTGCAGATGATTGAGATTTTGTATTTATGACTTATTAACATACAAAGGGTCAGGTTCTTATCTCAGTAACTCTGGGCACGTCTACATGTGCAATTAATGCACTTGAATTTTCTGTGAAGAAAAAGTCAGGCTCAATCAAGTGCTCCTTGGTGTACATCTACATATGTACCCCAGTCAGAAGCAAATTTGCTACCAATGGGAGCAGTTCAGTCCAGGGCTGTCTCAGCCCCCCTGTAGCAGCCAGGGGGAGCTCCAGAGAGCTGGCAGAAGGCATAGGGGTCAAGCCTGGGCTCTGGGGAGTGAGTTCCCAGCCATGTGGACCTTGGGATTGCAGACTGACTCAGCAGCAATGGTTTGGGGCAATGCCCCATGCCTAAGCATAGGAGTAAGCAGCACCAGGACTGAAGGGGATGGGGGGAAAGATGCAGGGGGGAAGCAGTGCAGGGACCAAGGGGGAGAAGTGATAGGGAAGCAGCACTGGGACTGGGGGGAAAAGAGGGAGGGAGCAGTGCCAGGGACTGGTGGGGGGAGAATGTCGAGCAGAGCATAGCATTTGGTGTAAAAGAAGAGGGGATGCCGCAGCCAGACCGGAAAGAGGACTCGGCCACAGCTGAGACGCACCAAGCTGAACCCTTGTGCGATGCCAGAGAGACTACGACCCGAAATGGGGAACCATCCCAACCTACCATGCAGATAAGTGAAGCTGGACAGCAGGGGGTTTCAGGTAGCTTATTGGCCAGGAGATGGAGGCATCGGGAGGAGGAGTACCCCAGAGAGAGAGAGAGAGAGAGAGTACTACACCCTCAGGAAAGATGGGGAGAAGGGACACCCAACATCAGCCAGCCTCAGAGAGTCCTGGGTAGACCTAGGTAAAGAAGGAATTTGCCCAGAGGAACTGAGTAAAACGGCCTACTGGCTCAGAGGGCTGCAGATAGTGGAGTTGAAGCCCAGTGCAGCCTCAGAAGTTTTTCTTTGTGTTGTTAAGTAGTAATCCCAAGCTAGGGAAGTATAGCAGAGGAAAAGCCTGATTCCCTGCACACCTGAGTTCTGATCAATCAAGCCCAAGAGTCAACCCGAGACCCAGTAGCATCTGAACATGAATCCTGGGATTGGCAAGCAGAGAATTCATCTCTCCAGGACTCAGTGATCCCAAAGAGAAGGAAGACTATCGCAAGCAGTGTGGAGACATTTGAGGAAAAGCCACCTGCCTAGAGGGCACAGCCATGATCTCTCACGAAGCCCACAGCCAATTGGGCTGGAGAGGATCCAAGAACTGGCTACTCACACTCAATACCAGCAAGAAGATACGACTTGTCACCCAAGAGAATAGGGGCAGAGTGTGAGGGTGGTGAAGCCCTGCACAAGACTGACCTTGCCTGTACAATCATCACTCAAGATACCATCTAAACTCCTGAGAACTAACTTCACATCAAAGATGTGGCAGGTGAGAGGGGGGAAGAACGAGGTAGAGGTCCCTGAAATTCCAGTGTGACAAGGAGCAGTGGTTAAGCCCGCCAGTTCATAGTTGGTATGTGCCAGGAGTTTTCAATGCCTCCCCTCCCTCCCCCCAGCTCATCAACCAGCTGCTGGGGGACTCCCCACTTCTTGACTGGCCAATGGAGATACCCCAACCAAAAAAGGTTAAAAACCCCTGGTATGTGCAAATAACACATTAGCCTA